CCCTGCCCTCCCTCCCTCCCTTTTCCCCCCCACCCTGTGTCTCTTTTTCTCACTCTCACACATACACTCACACACATTATGTACATTTTTCTGGGAATAGGTAAACAAACAAATGGAATACAAATCAGAGGTACTTTGCTCCCTAAGTTCTTTACCAGTAAAATGAATTCAGTTGTTGTTGGGTTTATCATACTGAATAGTTCTTTTAGTCTGATCTTAAAGAAACGAGGCGTGAGAAATCTCGTACTTCAGAGTGCTCGTTCCTTGTTGGAGCCAAAATATCGTGGCTGACATCAGAGTAGACTGCATCCACGTTTGCAACATTTGTCTGCTGAATTTAGGGAGTGCTGCCGGGTCATAGACCTCTGTGCTGAGTTTCACAACATTCACATCACTGCCAATCCGTTTCCTGGAGCCCTGTTTCTCTCCTGATCTATTGTTGCTGTTGCAGTGATGCATTTGGAACTTTTGAATCTAAGAACTTTCTTTCTTTCTGGTAACAGAAGCGGCATAAGGCAGACAATGCAGTGAACAAAAAGAAAACGATAGGTAAGACACCAGGCTGAATCACTTTTTCCGCTAGAAAACTTCAGACCCCATTTAAGGCATGTAAAATAAGTAGCTAATGGTATTAACATAAGTGGAGGGAAATGATCTATAAAATATTTTAAAAGAAATAGCAAAATTACAAACCAATCCAATAAAATGTGAGTCCTGGCTATTAAGATTTGAACAGAATTTGTGTATTTTAGAAGCTTAGAAAAGGTGGTAATTTTTAGGAGCTAGACATATGTTAGGTCTATAAAAAGTCCAAGCATTCACATCCTTGGTTTATACTTGCTCCCTTCCTCTCTATTTTTATTGTATTGATTTCTAGAACATTAGGTCTGTATTGTGTGTGTGTGTGTGTGTGTGTGTGTGTGTGTTTAATCTCATAACAACAGGGTGATATTTTTCTTCTGGGGTAAATATGGCTAGTTTTAACTTCTATGCATGTATTTATATTTATATGTATGCATTAATATATATATGGTATGTGGATTGGGGCTCCATTTTGAGGAGTGGTGTGGTATGCCTTTATGTCTAAAGATAAGGTTGGAATTAATAAGTGGAATTTTGAAAGGAACCTTTTAGATTTTGAAAAGCTGATTTTGATTATCATCAGTATTAACTGGTACATTGTTTTTTCTTTTTCAGTGTTAAGAAATGGTATGTGGCATACCATTATGTGGAAAGAGGTAAAAACTATAGGAAACAAATTGAGGGTTGCTGGGGGGGATGGGAGGGGGGATGGGGTAACTGGGTGATGGGCATTAAGGAGGACAAGTGATGTGATGAGCACTGGGTGTTATAGGCAACTGATAAATTATTGAACACTATATCAGAAACTAATGATGTACTATATGTTGGCTAAATGAATTTAAATAAAAAAATTTAAAAACCCTAATTTTAAAGATATGCCAGAAAGTACTGGTTTGGGGACTTGTAATTAATTGCTAGTATAGATTGCAGTAGATGAAGTGTGGGTTAAGACATCGGTCATCTCTAATGTAAGTTTTATATCGTGGAGTTTCCCATGAGATTTCCTTAGAACTGCTGCCTATTGACTTGGTTCCTGCTTCTTCTGGGAAGTGCTCACTGTGTCAGTTCACAGTTGTGAAATTCATTGCTCCTGATGGATACTTCTGAAATACCAAAGCATCCTCTAGTTTCCAACTCCAATCCAAGAGATCCCTGGTCTTCTGTTCTCCTAACCTAAATCCAGTTTTTGTTTGTTTGTTTGTTTGTTTGTTTGTTTTTAAGATTTTCTAACTTTGGAGAATCTCACTTCTAATGTTTTTGGTGGGAAGAGTTTTGGGTTTAAGATTTTACTGCGAAATGTAAACAGAGGTGGAGTGGGGGTTGGAGGCCAGCCTGTTTTGATCCTGAACTTGGTTGTCAGGACCAGCAGTCACTGCTCTTAACTTTACAATAGTGAGAGGGTTTGCCTCCATGTTCCTGGAAACATGAGGTTGGGAGGGTTTGGGGATGGTGAGGGTTTTTTGGTTGTTTATAGTGATGAATAGAAAATGTAGAAGAAATATGCTGTGCCATCTGGGTATCTTGTATCTGATAAAGTTAGCTTTTTAAGTGAACCTCTGTTTTACCTGGACCTTCTTAATGGTCACAAGATGGTTTTTGTGGGGGATGACTTTCATGACTTCAGGATTTGAAGATGATTAACATCATTTCAAAAGAAAACTACTTTTTAGAAGGTTCACTTAACAATAGTTTCTCTTGCTAACCATTTAGTAAGCAGTGTTTAAAAATGCTTCTATGATCTTTAACTCTGCAAAATGCCTGCGATACAGTAACTTAGCCCTCAGTTTAGTTTGCGTTTTGTTTACTTCATTATAAGAGAACTGTGAAGTCTCTTTATAGTGTTTTGTGATAACACCTTAACCTTGGTAGCAATCTAGAAGTCCTGTAATGCCAATACTAATTGACCTCCCTCTTATTTGGAAGTCTGTGGTTCTTTGTCAAGTGGTTGGAAATTCTTGACCTCATAGAGGTTAGAAATGCTCCCAGTGCTATGGGGGTTCAAGGATTCCCACTGCACTTAGGAATGGCCTCTGTTTCTCTAAGTGCTTCCTGACACTCCCTCCCTCCCCCGAAAGCTAGGAACAGTGGCTGGAGTGAAGAATGATTTGGATTTGGGATGTTTGCACTGCTTGAAACAGTAGTAAATGGAGCGATGATCTCTGAATTCTGGGTCCAGGAGTTGATGGCCTCACAGACTCCTAAAGTTCATTACCATTTCCTACACACATTTGAAGTTAAAAAAAAAAAAAAATCCCAAACCAAACACCTCTGTTATATGCTTTGCCGCAAATATTTTTATTTCAATTAAAATGCTTTTGTTTGTTTAAATGGAGCTCTTAGGATGTCCCAGAGATGGTGTTATGCATTGGGGATGCAAGTAAGAATAAAGCATGTCCCCTGCCCTTAAGAAGCTGCCTACCATGATTCTCAGCCTTCAGTGGGCATCAGTCGCTTGCCCAGCTGGTCTAACACTGAGTGCTGCGCTGGCTGTAATCTCAGAATTCCCGTTTTGGGAATTCCACTGGGCCCTAGAATTTGCATTTGTAACAAGTTCCCAGGTGAGGCTGACGCTGCTGGCCCCCGAACCATGGGTGTCGTGGGAAGGCCAGACAGCTGGATAGAATGCAGTGTTAGTGCTGAGCTCTGTGTAGGGGCATGCTTCAGGTGCTTCTGGAACATATGGGAGGGATGGATGATCAGTCTTTCTAGACCCATTAATTCACATGAGCAAAGGCATCCCTCGTGTGATGTTCTGGTGTTCTTTTGAAGGATGAATGAGAGGTAATTATTTTAAGAGGGAAATGCTGTTCAAGACAGAGGGAACTGGGTGAAAGTCTCAGTTGTATGGGAAGGAAAGCCAGGCACATCTGCAGAGTGGCTCAGAACAAGGATGAGGATGAGTGGCTCAAGGAACAATGATGAGAATATGGGAGAAGATAGGTGATAAGAGGTACCAAATGCCAGAGATGTCAGGCAAGGTGGACCTGGCTCTCTTTAAGCTTCCCAAAGCAATACAACTCTAATCTGAAATGTTGAGCTTGAGTTGGCAATCCCCTGGGCTATAGCAGAATAGAATGCTGGGAGGCAGCTCTTCGGTGCAACTCAATAGCTTTGGTTGACTTTGAGAAGGCCTTTGAGCTTATTCTTCAAAATTAAGAAGCTTGAGAAATCCTCTGAGGCTAGAATGGATTCAGGGATCTAGAGGGGGCTCTTTCTCACCTTAAGAATTCTCGTTTGGGAAACTTGACACACTCAAGGGACAACCATGCATAAACACCAAATAGAAAACCATTTTCAAACACATTTCCAACTAAGTAGTTTTCCGTGTGCATGGAACTTCTTAGTACTTTGTTACTGGGATATGAATGTTTCTTTATTTAAATAACTAAGATGGGAGAAAGCCATAATTTCCCTTGTCCTCCCACTGAATTAAGAAAAAATCCACCGCCTTTTTTCTTTTGAAAACATGACCAATTTTCCTTTCTAGTTTTTAACTAATACCTTCTTCTGATTTTTCTATGTAATTAAACTATCCACATAAAATACTTTTACATTTAGAAACCTTTTCAATTTTCATAAGCATTCCTTGCTGTTGTACTGATGGTTGTTAAAATAGCTCAGTAGCACCTATTCTTTGATAGTCTCTTTATTGTGGAATATAGAATATACATATAGGCCTTCCTTTTGGCTTTAAGTTGATGCTAACTTCAAATATACAATGGTTCTGGAATTTAACTTTTACCACCTCCCCCCCCCCCACACACACATTGGGCCTGATTCCTTACTTCCCCACATGCTTTGATAGTGCTTTGATTCAAAACACTAGCAGGACATGTTTTTAGTAAACCCTCCTTTTTCCTAATAAAAGGTTAAATATAGGCCCCTGCCAGGGCCATTCTCCTAGCTTGCAAGATCCAGGAGTCTTTCATGAATATTAGTTTCATAAGTATTTCAGAAGTATTCGGTTTGAAATTCTTGATTTCTAAGACAATAGTAATGTGCATTAGAATAAGAAGTAAGGCATAGTGCCCATTTTGCGTTTTGAACTTACTCACATGTGCTGAGAACAGCCTTTGTTCTTGTGTTGTCTGAGAATCGTGGCCTGTCTGACTTTCACACTCAGTGTCCATTTGGTTGCACTCCTGCTGGTAGAGACTAGCACATGCCTGTTTCAGGCCAGGCACTTGCATATACTTCCTTAATCATTGCATCAGCCCTACAAGGTAAGTGTTGATCTTTCTGCATTTTATAAGTGAGGATGCTAGAGCTCACAGAGCTGAAGAACTTGCCAAGATCCCAGGGCTAGTGTGTCTGTGAAGCTAGGATCTGAACCTCAGCCTGCCTGACTTGAAAGCCCATATTCTACCCATCTGGGTGCTTCTGTGACCTCATTTAAAGGATTTATAAACCCTTGGCCATGGTGCCCCATGGTCAGCAGATTAAGGCCTTTTTCTTTAGCTTGGGGTCTTGTGTCTGGTGGAGTCTATTTCCCTAGGTGGTCTCTGACTTTGGCTGTGACTCTTTTTTTTGTTGAAGTTCTTGAGGCTACACAAATCTCTGTTTTAAGTGGTATGTTTCCAGGGAACCTTTTAGATGCACTGTTCATGGGTGAAATCAGTATTGCTTTGTAATCAGACCACTGGCCAGTTGCTCAGTTTTGAATCTTGGGTCTAACACTCACTGTCTGTGTGACCTTGATCAAGTTATTTCTCTTTGAACCTCAGTTTCCCCATTTGTAAAATGGAGAAAATTTATTAACTCAATTGATCCTTGCAATAACCCCATGATATATGTGCTCTCAACCCCATTATATATATAGATGTGAAGACTGATGCACACAGAGTTTACATAACTTGCTCCGGGTTACTCAGGTCTAGCAAGGAATCCAGCCGGGGGATCTGAGCCCAGCATTCTGGCTGGCTCTGGAGGTGTACATTTAACCACTCTCCCCTACTGTGTACAGCTGTGGGATTGTTCCAGAGTGCAAGAGTGGAATTTGCAAGTGGATGGAATAATTGTAAGAAAATGAGACCTTGATAGTTGTTCTGACTCTTCTCTTTTCTTACTCTCCTTTTATGGTTTTTTTTTTTTTTCATTTGGCATCACTGCAGAAAGGCAATATTACCATTTGTACCGAAAAATTTTTGTTCTTGTCAAGGAAAATAATTTGGGCTTCTGTCTTAAGCTTCATGGCATAATTATATAGTAATTTTTTCTTCAAATATTTAACCACCTTAATGACTGTTAGTGCTTTCCTGTCTTTCATGCTTCTCTGTCCTTGTCCCTGGTTTTCTAGGTGGCAGTGGGAGACATTGTGAAGGTCATCAATGGGCAGTACCTCCCAGCAGACATGGCCCTGCTATCCTCCAGGTCAGGTGTGCAAGTGGGCACATTGTTTGAAATAAATGTGAACAATAAAGCATTAAGTGGTGACTATAGGAATCACAAGCCACCCTTCCCTCCCACCCCTGGAGGCACCAGCCTTCTCTCTCTGGCCTCTTCTTCAGTTACTTGTCATTTGCCTTTTTTTGTTCCTGCCTTAATCCTAAATTTTCTTTCTCCCTTCATTCCCTTGTACTTTTGTAGAATTCTTTTAGACGTATTGCTTCATTTTAGTCTCATAGCAGTTCTGGGCTATTTCGTATTCATAGGAGATGCTCCAGAACAGTGGAGTGATTCCATCAATAACACGAAGACTGCAGCCTCTCTGAGGCTTGAGAACCAGTCTCCTGGTGGGTCCAGGGAGTCTTCCCATAGAGCCAGGGCCTCCTTTACTAGCTGCTCAGAGATCCGGCCCACGTTCGCAGCATAGACATAACCTGTGGTTGGTGTTGCCCCTTCATTCGTCCACGTTGTGTCCCCCTATCTGCCCAAGTGCCACTGCCATGTTCTCCAGGTAGTTTCATGCTGCAAAGGTATCACCAGTCACTAAGTGACATGAATAATGGACCATGCAGTCCTTGACTTTTCCTTGGCTTGATACATAAAAGTATATATCAAAGACAGAGTGCTACAATTAGGATATAAATAAACTCCTTTTCATGAGTTCAAGTTTAATTCTATGATAAGACTGAAACTTCCTATGTTTTATGTGCTGCAGGGAATCCTAGATACTCACACTGTTGGCATTTTCTTTGAATGCAGACAGTGTTGCTTTTATTGGATTTGATCATACATTGGATTCTAAGCCTTAGCATGAATTTACTGCTCGAGATAAAACATTTAAAAATAGGATCCCAGGCCCATAGAGAAGGAAGAGCACCATATATATAGGGCAGGACTCATATTTGTCCCTATTGGTTGGTAACAAGAGAAATAGGGAAATGTGGATCACTTGACAGTTTGGGGTATGAATTTTCACCATAACCCTCAGAAAACCTGGTTTTAATATGAGATGGTTTGTCTGAGCTGACAACACATTTCTAGGATGCTCATTACTGTTTGAGTCTGTACATTATGCTAAGCAGTCCACCGAGTACATTATCCCATTTAATCTTCCCCCAAACCCTTGGTATCCCTACTTTATACATGAGAAAACACAGAAACAGAGATTAAACAACTTCTAAGTCCCCACAGCCCACAAAGGTAGCAGTAGGAGATTTTAACTTAGCCAGTGGGTTGCAGACTCCATTCTCTTGACCACTAGCTATGCAGCTAACCCCAGTGATTAGAAATAGGAATACAGTATCTACCAGGATTATTGTTTTTTCTTTTTAAGACTTTATTTATTTATTTGAGAGAGAGAGAGCATGAGTAGGGGGAGGGGCAGAGGGAGAGAGAGAAGCAGTTTCCCCACTGAGCAGGAAGCCTGACACAGGGCTCGATCCCAGGACCATGGATCATGACCTGAGCCGAAGGCAGACGCTTAACCAGCTGAGCCACCCAGGCGCCCCTGCCATGCTTCTTGTTATTCTTTGAGTGTTCTGTCCTTAAAATTGGATGTTTTGATTAAAAAGTTATGTGTTGACATAGTAAAAGGTACAGGGAAGAAAAGGCTTGCCAAGCTTGATTGCTGAACTCTGGCTGTAATGCTCTTCAAAAGCTGTGTTTGTACTGGCTGCATCTAGGGTGGCTCTTTTGGTCAGGAGCAGGCCAAGTCTCAGACTCTAAGGGTCATCCAAACACAGTGGCAGAGTCTTGGCTGGAGCATATTGTGTTTCCCTTAACCTACCAGTCCTCTTCGCATTCTCCTTCAGTTATTTCTGCTACTTAAGGTCAAGCAGCATTATGTGGGGCCCGTAAGTGTGGATCATTGGGCAAACAACTTTGTGTTGGTGTTGAGCCTCAAAGAGGAGTGTCTTTCTGGTCAGTTAAGACTAAAGTGGTTGAAGGGCCAGTCAGCAGACACAGTTTCCATGGTAGAGACTTTATGAGCTGTGAATTTGTGGAGGGGATTTTACTAAACTTTGGCTTTTAAAATTTCTCTCTCCATAGTGAACCTCAGGCAATGTGTTATATTGAAACAGCTAATCTAGATGGGGAGACGAACCTTAAAATACGTCAGGTAAAGTAATCTTTTATGACTTGTGTTGTTATGGAGACCCAAATTGCAAATTTGGTTCACTATTCCAATCAGTGTATTTTCTAGAGAAAAACGTTCTGCTAGATAGGGTTATGCCTTAACCCTAGTGGAACCCATGGGAAGAACTTGGCTTTTATTATGAAGGGAACCATTGAGAGAGACAGTGGAGTTAGAAAAAGTGAGCTTCGTCCAAGTATGGATCATGAAGGGTATCTTGCCTTAATTTATATCTTAGATCTATGTCTGTTAGTGCAGGTGGAAAGAGATCCTGTCAGCTAGGTTGAGCCACATGGTGGAAAGGGCATCTTCTATATGGAGAGATGCAGTAGGCAAGCTCTGGGTACCTTACTTTACATAGTTGTTTTAACTGACACTTTAATTCTAGAAAGTAATACATCAGATACAAAATTTCTATGCCTCAAAGCTGTTCTTACCATATATTTTAATTCTAGAATGAAAAATGGCCTTTACTGTAACACAAATTCTAAGCATTTGACACCCAAATTTTCTGTTGCATAAAGTTGAATTTGATAATTCTGTCCACCAGTCTTTCTTTTCTATCTTAGATATTTGATTTAAGTAGGGTATTTTTTTTTCTGTTTAAAGAAGTGTTGCTGAGTACTAGATATAACACTAATAAGACATTATATTAAAAGAATGCTTTATTCTGTTTTTATGACTTGTATTAAAGTAGAGCTAATAGAGTGCTCTCTGCAAGGTGCTTGAGTATGTGGTTAATTGAACATGGATCTTCCCAGCACAATGGGAGAATCTTAACTTTGCACTTCATTGAATTCTTTGGAAACTTTTGCATTAGGTTGCTATGGCAAAGGCTGCCTGGGAAGTCTATCTTGAGGGGCTGGTAGCTTGATTTGTTAGCCTCCCCAGTGACTCCATTTTAGATGATTCATTATTTCCTTTGGATTAACAATGGGGATGCTGAATGTTGTCCCCAAACCTGGAAGATTGTATTCAGTTTCCTCTTTTGGTTTAACATTTTAGGGTCTGAGTCATACTGCTGACATGCAAACAAGGGAAGTATTGATGAAGTTATCTGGAACTATAGAATGTGAAGGACCCAACCGCCATCTCTATGACTTCACTGGAAACTTGCACATAGATGGGAAAAGGTATCACTTTTGCTTTTCTTAGTTTTTATTTTATTTTATTTTTTTGTTCTTAAATGGGACTAAGAATTACTGGAATTGGTAAAATATCAGCTTGTTTTTTTGGTTTTGAAATATTTTAAAACCATGAGATTTCTTATGTTTAGCTTAGATATGAGAGACTGAGCTTTTCCTGAAGCACAATTTCAGTCAGTATAAACTTTCCTTCCCTTAAATTTAAGGAAAGAACTGATTTTTGTCAAGAAAAACAGCCCCAGGGTCTGAAAGGAGATTAAAAGTACTGGCTGTTTTTCTGTGTGTCCTACCTACCAGGAAGGAGAGGTGGTTTGGGCTGCATAAAATTGTCCAGAAGAGCAGAGGAGAAGCATATCAGGTGTATAAGAGCTAATCTATTTATTAGAGAAACATCCTTTTTTTTTTTTTTGTGACTAGCATTCTTCTAAGTAGCATTTGTTTTTATCAAGTTGAGTGGAAGGAACAGCAATTACTCTTCCTTTAGAATATTCACTGCCCTGTTGTCTATATTTCGTTGTCTTTGTCCTCTTGGCATTTGTTTGATTGTTGGAGAGTCATTTTTGTCATTATGTTGGGGTGCAGTTTCTCCCTTCTGCCCATCTTTAATCTGCATGCTCCTTACCGATGCTTCCCACATTTGTATTTTGAACAGACTCAGAGGGAAGGACCTAATCGTGGGAATCAACCCAAAATAACTATGACAACTGTGACTGCTTTTTTGGTTTTCATTTAGCACGCAGAACCATTCAGTCGGCTCCCCCTTTTGAATTTCTACATTATCACTCAGCCTTTTATTTAACCATTAAGTCATCCTTGACAAATTTGATATTCTAGCTTTAGAGTCTGTAAAATAAACTGGGTTTCCCAATGAATAAGCTTCTTGTTATTTTAGCAATTTCCTTTTTGGGTGTATAGTTTCATGCCCGGGTTTTAAGAGAATACAATTCCCTCTAACATTTTATAAGAAAAAAATATATTTTTCTTGTAGTGATGAATGGATAGGATAAAACTTTTTTGTGGATCCCTTTTTTTCTTTTTTTTGTAGATGAAGGCAATGGTAACTTTCATTGCTCCTCTCAGTGAAATAGTTCAAATTTGAATAAAAGAAACAATCGAATTAATTGATTGATTGTGGGTTTATGTTTAAGGGGGAAAGCTCATGCTCATTTGTCAAACTATCATTAAATATAAATGTTGTTTCTTATTTTTAGCCCTGTTCCCCTTGGGCCTGACCAGATCTTATTAAGAGGTACACAGCTTAGAAATACTCAGTGGGTCTTTGGCATAGTTGTTTATACTGGACACGACACCAAACTCATGCAGGTAAAACATTTCTATGCTGAAAAACAATGCTGATTTCAGTCTTTATTTTTTCTGTCCATTTTTATGGAGTAGAGAATGCAAATGCAAATGTTGCATTTAGGGGCTCGAATTTGTGAACCTAAATTTAGAAAGGAAGTACCTTTTATTTCTGGTTCCTTGGGTAGTTTTTCCTGGATTTCCATTATTCTCTCAGATGTTTGTTACCTCTTGCTTGAAATATTGATGGTCTTTGTTTTTTCCAGATTTAGGGGGATGATCAGTTCTAACTTATTTTATCTTCTGGACTTAAGCAGAGATTCAGTCTAACTTTCTTATATCTCTACTTCTCTTCCTCACCTCACGAATTAGGATTTAATAGTAAATTGTACTTTTAATTAAATCCTTGGCAATTTAAAATCAGTTATTTTTGAACTAATATTTATTCTTCATACACCAAAAGAATTAAGTTAAAATGATTTTGCTCTTTCTCCCTGTTAATGATTTTCAAAATATTTGTCAATTTACAGCAGCCTGCATTTGTATTATGGTGTATTTTGCCAGACAGCTTTTGAAATTCTATATAAATCAGTGTCCCAATGTGTCATTTCTTATATTTCTTTGGTATCTTTTGGATCTTATTTTGCTAATGGTTGCTGTTTGCGAGAATCAGCTTTTCAGCTTGTCTGTTCTTTTGTATCACTTCCAAAGCATGTATTTGACTGTATTTCTTAGTTCAAAATTATTTAGTGACCACCACGCACCAAGTCTTGAAGTAGGCTGTGTGGATACAATAGTGAAAGGCCCAGCTCACCCTCTGGGAGCCACACAGACTAAGGAGTAATACAGAATTACCAGGTAGAATGAGAATCGCTGCAGTATGTATCATTACAAAGTGCTCTAGGTGTCTACAGAAAGGCCAAGCAACCCAGGATTGGGGCTGTTAGTTGACTAGATACTAGAAACCCATTTTAGATGGAGAGTTGGGGGGGCGGCTCTTGTGTTGGCCGACTGTTTGAGGTCAGATGATGGAGGAGGAGAAAGTTAAATGTTGATTAGAATGGATGAGGTGATAGACCCCATTTCTACCCCAGCTGGGAAATGCAATGGAGACAGGGTGGCAGGGAGTGGAGGAGATGGTGGGCATGATAAGGCTTCAGAGTCTCGTGACATTGAAGACTGTTGCAGTTGCCGCTTAACTGGCTGATCAATGTGTAGTGAGGACTGGGAGATAATGCATCTGGTGCTCCGTGCTATGATTTTGAAGACAGGATAATGGCAGGGCTGGGGCCAAGATGGATACCATAAGCCAACTGCTCACCTCTTTAGAGGGTGAGGGACGTGGCTGAGAGGTTGGTGGATTTGTTGAGGGACGAGGAGAAGACAGTGTAGCCAAATGGCATGAGTTTCACGGGTGAGTGTTTTAACATGGCATTCGAGTCATAAGGGTCAGAAGTACTATTGGCTTCAGATTCCAAGGCATGTGAGTCTTCACTGGAGCACCCTCTGCTTTGAGGAGCTTCAGGGAAGAAGTGCCCTCAGCTGGGTAAGAAAAGCTCCCAAAGGGGATGAGGACATGGAAAAGTTTTGGCCCTGGGATGCTAGGGTGTGTTGGAATGGCTGCAGTGGGAGTGTGTACGTGAGGGTGGGGATCCATGGCGGCTGAGAGAACAAATAGTTGGTGAATGCTGAGGCCCCTCTTGGGTGGATCAAGATTATTCAGTGTATCTGAGATGCGTTTTATCCGTCCTTCCTGCTAGGTCCTCACCGGTTCAGAACTGATTAGAAAGTTTAAAGTTTGTTAGTTCTGAATAGCCTGTTATGTGGAGACTTTGCTCTGATGAATGGTTTAGGGCTCCACTACCTACTAAGTATCCTCTGACTTCCCAGTCCAGTGCCAGCAGCCACACCTAACACTGGGAGCTCTACTGACCACAGATCACTTCCGTTTTTATGATAAAGAGACAGAGATGACAAAGACTTAGCTCAGATTTAGATGGGACCCCAATACCTGTTTTTAGATTGTGCATATTACAAACTTAGCCACTCTCCAAGATTGTTTTTTTCAGGGTGACATTGGTAGTACAGCTTTGTAGCTAAGGTGTAAGAGATCATCGAGTTATACCTAAAAATGATCCTACCATCTTTTCAGTGAGCAAAGTGTGCACAGTTACCTCCTGAAGTTTGCTCTCGTGAGTGAGATAGGCACTCCTTGCACCTACGTGTGATAAGCCCGTGCAAGGCTTATTATGTGTTGAGTGTTCTCGTACAGAATGATGGAAAGACCCAGAAACATCTGCACTAGACTTGCTGTGCCTTTAGGACTGCAACAACAAGTAAACATGATGAGCTTTCAAGAGGAATATAATAGAACACCTATAGCTGGAAGCCATCTTGTTGGTGAAATAACATTTTTTGTCTGGACTTGTGCTGCTTGACCACAGAGGGGAAACACAATTACTTTAGGGTTCTTCTACTTTTTTGTTTGCTCTGTAAACTCTTGCCTCAGTGTCTTCTCTTCAGAGTTCCCCTGTTTCAAGTTCAGTGTAGTTACACGTGGAAATATTTTCAATATTACTATTTCTATTGGTTGATTTAATGGGAAGGAGGTATCATCACATTAATTACAGCAAATACTTAGTGCCCACATGCATTGTTCTAAGCAATTTGCATGTATTAACTCATTTATTCCTCACAATGGCCCTATGAGGAAGATACTATTATTGAGCCCATTTTCTAGATGAGGACAATGAGACCCAGTGTCTAATAGTTACTGAAGTTACACACCCACCCAGTAAGAGAGAGATTTGGGATTCAAACCTATGCAGTTTGGCTCCTGAGTCCATGTTCTCACTAGTTACTCTACCGACTACTTTTTTAGGAGGGCAGAAAGTGTATAAAATTCAGGTCAATTATAAACTTTTCAAACTCTGACATTTTGGCTTTTTTTTTTTAACTATTATAAGTAAAATTTTTATTAAATACATTTATCAGCACTAGTTTCATAGTTGTTTTTAATAGCAAAACATTCTAAGAAATGTAAATGACAATAGAGATGGTTCTGGAATTATATATAGCCACTTAATTCAAGTTTTTATTTTTTTATCACTATTAAAATTTTGTTGAATTAACAAACCATAAAAATAACTTTTTTGCTATACAATTCTATGTGTTTTAACATGTGTATAGATTCACATAATCACTAACATCTTCATGAAAGATGTTAGCTGAAAGATGCTTATTTCTATTAAGAACTCCATTACTCAAAAGCAGAAGTATTTTCTAAGAATTTTATGGAAGAGTTTAAAATGCTAGTCAGAATTTAACATTACAAGCTCATCATTGTAAGTTGAAATGTTCAGGGAATGGGAGTGAATAGGCAGAGCCTGACTTTCCACAAAGTGTGTGTGATGAAGTTTGGGGCTCTTGTACTGGATGAAAGATAACTTTTTCTAACCCTGTTAACTGGCTACGACTGAACCATTGGAAAAGATCAGAAGCCAATAAACTAATGGAGTCATAGAAATGATGCTTTTTGTAAATTTTTTTCTCCCTGTGCTCCAGTGAATGTTCAGAATGATAAGATCATGAGTTTTAAAAGATGGGGATAGACAGTCTTGGAACTGGTCTGTTGGCTTCTTCCGTAAGACCAGAGGTGATATGTTGTCCCCATCAACCTGTAGATGGGATTTGATTGATGGGTCAGCCTTCACTAATAGATTTCCATTTAGAAATTTAAAGGACTTTTTTTTTTTTTTAAGTCTGTAAAGGACAATTCAGAGAACTGAAGTGAAAGGGAGAAAAGAGAATATAAAGGAAGTTGTTGCTGTGCTGTTTAAATACTGAAACATTTCAAAATGACCAGTAAACTGATTCCCTACCTCCCTGCCCTGCAGAAAACCAGGCCATGATGGTAGTATTTGTGGGTTTGGTGATAGAATTCAGGTAACCATTTCAGTGATGTTGTGGTACGAGCTTCTCTAGGGAACTTAGGGATGAATTGCTCTCTGTTTTCATTTGATTTTATTTTTATGTTGTGGTTTTATTCATATTCTTCTTTTTGGAAACATTTTCATCCTAACTCTTTTAATGAGCAGATGAGTTGAGAACAGTGAAGAGTGCTGACTTAAGTTTTGCATAACGCACCATTTTTATGGCCAGTTAATGCCTTTCAAGCTTTCAGATCATCTGATTTTTGCAAATCGGTTGCCAGTAGAGAGACCAAGCTTGTGACTCATGGAGGGAGACCTGTAGACTGAAGCTCCTGTGTCCATCTGCCCCTATCTAATTCCTGGCTTCCGGTCTAATCCAGGCTCTGCTCCCCTCCAGGAATGGATTATTAACATCTTCTGGGTTACTGTATTAGTTTCCTATTGCTGCCATAACAAATTATACAAATTTAGTAGCTTAAAGTAACACAAAGTTGTCATGTTAGGTTCTGTAGGTCAGAAGTCTGGTATGGGTCTCATCCATGTCACAAAGCCTGCAGGGCAGCATTCTTTTCTAGCACACTCTAGGGGGTTCTAGAGGAGAATCTGTTCCTTGCCTTTTTCTGCCTTCTAGCACTGCCCAAATTTCTTGGCTCATGACCCCCTTTTTCCATTGTCACAGTTGGCAATATTGCATTTCTTGGGCTATTATTGTGTAGTCACATTTCCCTCTGACTGTAGCCAGGAAAAGATCTCTTCATTTTCTGTTTTTAAGGGCCAATGTGATTAAGCTGGACCTACTTGCATAATCCAAGAATATTTCCCCAAGTCATATCCTTAATTTTTTAAAATTTAAGCTTTTTTATTTATGAGAGAGAGAGAGAGAGGGACAGTCAGGGGTGGGGGAGGAGAGCAGAGGGAGAGGGACAAGCAAACTCCATGCTGAGTGTGGAGCCCGACACAGGGCTTGATCCCAGGACTCCGAGATCATGACCTGAGCCAGAACCAAGAGTCAGACACTCAACCAACTGAGCCACCCAGATATCCCAGTCATATCTTTAATTTAATCATGTAAGCAAAACCCCTTTTATCACATAAAATAATGTATTTACAGGGTCCAGGTATCGGGGCATGGACATCATTGGGGAAACCATTATTTTTCCCACCACAATTACAATCAGAACATTTTTAGTAAAATGACTTCAGGTGCATAATTGTCTGGTGCAAATAGGTCTATTGACTTTTCCAATGCTGAGAGAATAATAGTTCCAAATTTTTCACCTATGCGTAGAGGTCCTTGAACCTGGCTTTAATGAATCTTTCTGAACTCACTTGCCAACACTGGCTTCTGTTTGAGCTGGAATGGTTTCCCCACCTGCAGTGAGACATCAGACCATGCATGTTTATAGATGGCTAGGCTGTCTTCCACTTTTGTTTTACTTTCCTGTCTACATTCTGTTTATGACTCAAGACTGCACTCAGATTTCTCACAGCCACTAGAGCTTTCCTGACTTTCCTGCTTTTTTCTTGTTCAGTTTTCCAAATGAACTCTGTCCATTTATTTATTTTGATACCTATTGATGTCAACACCTATTTTGCATTTTGGATGTGTATGTGTCTGTGTATGTCTTTTTTTCCTCAATTTTGAGGGGAAAATATATACTGCAAAAATAGTTCTTTGTATATTAATTATAGAGCTCTATTATTACCTTGAAGATTCAGTCTAGATTTTTATGGTACAGAATCTTTAAGTTTCTCTTGAATTAATGACATCCTGATTTCTTTTAAACTGATTTTAAGTGATTTAGAACTTGTTTTCTAAGATTGCAAAAGTAGCTAATTTTGTACTAAAATGTAATCATAAGTACAGATTGAATTATGAGTCAAAATGTGTTATTATTTAAAACTAGCTGTTGATTCAGGAATATGGTACACTTTTTAATTTCATTGGTTATTTGGCAAAAATATAGTCTTTTATTTTTATTTGTTGAATTTGGTTAACTTACCTCCTTTTTTCCCCACTCCTTAACCCCAAGCCTGTTCTGTGACTCTTATACATTTTTCAATGCTGTTGTACAGAATTCCACAAAAGCACCCCTCAAAAGATCGAATGTTGAAAAAGTGACTAATGTGCAGATCCTGGTGTTGTTTGGCATCCTCTTGGTCATGGCCTTGGTGAGCTCAGTGGGGGCCCTGTACTGGAATGGGTCTCAAGGTGGAAAGAACTGGTACATCAAGAAGATGGGTAAGTGTCAGGATGGAGTGCTTGTTGAAGTAGGATGAAACCACTTTGGAAAACCCTTACAAGTGTGGTTTATGTGTGGTGGCCATGCCATCCTTCATTCTTTTGGCTACTCTATAAAAGGCCAGCCTTCTTGAAAGATTAGGAGTCGTGATGAAATGAAGGATGGACACATGTGGGGATTGTTTTATATTCAAATGATTGTATTTTTAACTATTTTTTGAGTTATTTTCTTAGTGGTTGCTCTAGGGATTACAATAAATGTCTTAGTTAATCAGCATTTGCTTCAGATTAATACTAAATTCCAGTAAAATACAGAAATTTTACTCCAGTATAGATTCATTTCTTGCCCTGCATTGTGCTATTATCATATATATTACATCTGTTATCAACCCAGTAATCCAGTGTTATAATTGTTGCTTTATATTATTTAATGTCGATTAAGCAAAAAGAAAATACACTTATAGAGTGTACATGAACCTACTTATTTACCATTTCTAATACTCTTCATTTCTTCCACAGATTTGAGTTACCAGTTTGTGTTATTTCTTTGCTTCATGTAGCTTTATCCTGTCATTGCTTTGGGCTGTCATATATATATTACATCTGTGTATAAGGCCAATGATGCACTTTTATAATCATTTTTGCCATGTTTTTTTAAGTCCAAAAGAAAGGATAAAAAATATGTAATTGTCTTTTATAAGTACCTGTTGTGTTATTACCTTTACCAATATCCTTTGTTTATGTGGATTTAATTCCTGTCTGGTGTCATTTTCTTTCATCCTGGAGAATTTCTCGTAAGGCAGATTGGAGAGCAACAAATTCTCTGTTTTTATCTTGGAATGTGTTAATTTCTCCTTTGTTTTTGAAGCGCAGTTTTGCTGATACAGGATTCTTGTAGAATTCTTGGTTATGTTCTTTTTCCTTTCAGTACTTTGCATATGCCATCCCACTGCCTTCTGGCCTCCATTGTACTGATGGGAAGTCAGCTGTTAAACTTACTTTTTCCCTTGTATGTGAGTCATTTTCTATTGCTACTTTCAAAATTGTCCTTGGTTTTCAATAACTTCGAGTTTATTTTGTTTGGAGTTTGTTGAGCTTTTTGGATGTGTATGTTAATATTTTTCATCAAATTTGGGAAGTTTTCAGCTATTATTTATTCAAATATTGTTTCTGCCACATCTTCACTCTCTTCTTTCTGGTAATTCCATTATGTACCAGTTGGTCCAAATGATGTGACCTTAGGCTCTGTTAATTTTTCCTTATTTTGTTTTCTTTCTCTTTTTGAGATTAGGTAAGCTCTATTGACCTACATTAAAGTTTGTTTCTCTCTTCTCCTAGCTCACATCTACTCTTCTGGAAAAAAAACTGATTTTTTTTCAGTTTCATAATTTCTACTTGGTTCTTTCTTTTATCTCTTTCTTAATGTTCTCTGATTAAGCAATCATTGTCATCATACTTTCTTTTAATTCTTTAAACAGTTTCTTTTAGTTCTTTAAATATATTTATAACAGCTTCTTTGAAGTCTTTGGTCCATCATCTGGGTCCCCCCCTTAAAGGCAGTTTCTATTGCTTTTTTTCCTGTTTCTTTGTAGTTTCATATTTCTTTGTTGTTGAAAACTGGGTCCTTTAGATAATATGTTGGGGCAGTTCTGGATTCTGTTTCCTCCTCCTCTTCCTTGTTGCTGTTTTTTATCTGTTTAGTGACTTGCCTGGAAAGATTCTGTGAAGTCTGTTTTCTCCTGCAGTGTATAGCCTCTGCTGTTACTGCTCAGTTTTATTTCCATGTTCTGACTTTTTATTGCTTTTCAAATGTATAGTTTAAGATATATAGTGGTTTGTAGTATATTCACAGATTGTGCAACCTTTACCTCTTACCTAACTTTAGAACATTTTCATCACCACAGAAAGAAACCCTATCTTCATTAGCAATCACTCTTCTCCTTGTTTTTATTTTCAAGCCTGGATTCCTAGAGGTCAGCATAGCTTAGAGGTTAGCCAGTGATTGGTCAGAGGTTGTTTGACCTATGTGTGGCTTGTAGAATGCCTTCAGTGTTTGGGGAATTTAAAGTCTGCCCACATTCAATCAGGGACTAGTTGCTCACAAGTACCCTCTCTGGTCTCTCCTAAGCAGGTGCAGCCTTATGCATGGACATGACCTTCTGGACCACCAGGGTTGAGTGTGATCTTACCAAGGTTTCTTTGGCCATTTCTTTCCATGGATATCTTTGTTTAATTTCTGGCTAGTCTTCTGGTTTGTTTGCTCCTACTAGTATTGTGAGATATTTGTCTTCCCTGATTATTAGCCACTGAAATCTCTATTGTTTTTGACAGTGCCCTCGGCGTGGCTTTTTTCATGCTGTGTTCCAAATAATGTCATCTTTCTCAGGCTGTTCCTGTCCTGACAACCTGCCTTACTCTAAGAGTACCAGCCTGCCTCACCCTGGGACAGAATTTCTGCAATATGGAGCTGGGGCATGGGGTGGAGGGATTCACACTGTCAGTCCCAACCACCCACCCAGAACAGAATTTAAACATCATGGCTCAAGGGGAAAGGAGAGGGAAATAGCTTCTGACTTAAATGCCTAAGGTTTCCACTTAGATTAAGTAGAATTTTTGAATACATGCTTTTGAATTTTTTGTATGCACTGTGATCACTTTCTAAGCACTTTAAATGTTTGTTTTTGATAATTTTATTCAGTTTTATTGCTTCCTTTTTTTTGAGAGATTTGCCAATCTCCTTACATAGCAATTCCAAAAATAAATAAAATTTAATGACAAAATATTTTAAAAAATAAATCTGAACTTTAAAACTTTGGAATCTTTGCTTGAAGTTTTTGTTATTCTTTAAATATATTTTGGTTAAACTGATAAAAACATTTTTTCCTTTTCTAATTATCTCATGCAAAAAAATCAAACACTTTTGAATGCCCAGGAGAACTATTATTGCCACTTTACAAATATGACTGGGACTCGAGTTGTAGGTGGAATCAAAACTCTTGGTTTTGGTTCTTAAAATTTGGATATGTCTAGCTTCAAATATGAAGATTGAATCTTTGTGTACATATATAGTTTCAAAATGTCATGATCTGGGTAAATAAACAGCATTGGCATAATCTTGGTAAACAGGCTTTGTGGAAGCTGGCATTTAAATTGCCTAATTTCAAACTCCAGTACTAGCTGTATGATTCATGATGGAAGAATAGTCTTTATGTCCCACCCATAATGCTGTCTGCTTTGTTCTCTTATGGAAAAGTTGGAGTAGCTCTATTAAAAGCCATCAGACTTCACAGTTACATTGTCACTGTTGGAGCTTTGACTTCAGTTTCTATCAGATTCTGTCCTTCATCATCTCCACTTGATTGTTTTTGTTTGGCTGAATGAACTTTTATACATAGGGTCTTCCCCGAATGTGCTCTGCTTATTGATAATATATATGATGACTCAAAGTTGCTTTTGGCCTGTATTCAAACCTGACATTTGAAATTTCTTAATACATAATTCTAATTGTCAGGTATTTCTTCCTAAGGAAATTATACCTCAGAGACATTTGTTAACTATTGGTACTTAGAGATCCTGTTTAGCAACTACTTAGTTCAAAAGAACAAGGTTGCAAAGTAACATGTCAGAAAGAAAAGAAACAATCGACAGGAAAAACAGAAGCCTTGGTAGGAGAGAAGAAAATGAAGGGATGGTAGGAAGGTGAAACTACTGATTAGCTTGTGCCTACTCCCTGTTAACCTTTACCAGCCCCTTATGCTGCCATCACAGCTACCCTCCAGAACTTGGAGGCTGAGTCAAACCACTACCTTTTGACTAATTTCCTGGAGGTAAAGCTCAAGTGTGTTTTGAAGTCCTTACAAATTACTAATCTCCAATCCTAGCCTTTTGCTATCTTGAAATACCAGTTCCCGTCAAGAGGCGTCTTTGATACCAGTCAAACCTTTAGCCTACTGCAACCTTTCCTCACCTCTTGCCAAGTTAAGCTCTTAGTACTCTTTCCTTTAACCAGGGTGTCATGGTCATCAGGAAAGAACTTTTCTCTTTTGATACAGACCTTGTACCTCTTTTCTCTCCCCTGGTTCCTCTTCCTGTCTAAGCTGACTCTACTTCTGCTTTGGATTTTGTCCCCTAGGGGTCTTGATCCATCATTAGGGGTCCTCTTCTGTTAAGATTTTCTTCTGTTATCTTCAATAAATAGCTCCAGTCTTCCTGCTTCCCTCTTTTTACCTGCTACTGTTGACACTTTTTATATCTTACAAACTCTTTGGAGTATCCCAGATGGACTCTTACCTTAGTAAGGTTGTAGATATTCCTTACAGCCATTTGACATGCCTGTCTTCTTTTCTGCATCCTTTTTAGTTAGCTGTCTTCTCTCTTTCTGCCAAAACTTACTAAAGCCTCTGTTCTTCTGGATGGCCTTCAGTGACCATGCCTTCCATTAAAATAAACCTCTTCCGGTTTCAGCAATGCCCTATGAACTCCTCAGTAGATGTATGCTGCTGCATGGTCAGGAAGGGGCATGCTCACTCCTGCCCACTCCTGCTCACTCCCCTCCCCTACAACATCCTGTTAGAAGCCAGCTCTTTACTAGAAGAGATTGTATTAATAGTCTTTGTATTCACAGTTCATACCATATACTAAGTGCTCCATAACTGTTTTAACTCAGATCTCTAAATTTATACATAAGCCTGTAGACCTTTTTGGTGAACATCTTTAGAAAAAGTCCACAAAAATAAAGTAAAAGGAAACTGAACGAGATGAACTAAAGTGATACAGGTACTTTGGTTTTTGTCCACAGACACGACCTCAGATAATTTTGGATATAACTTGTTGACGTTCATCATCTTATACAACAATCTTATTCCCATCAGTCTGTTGGTGACCCTTGAGGTTGTGAAATACACTCAAGCCCTTTTTATAAACTGGGTGAGTATCACAGCAGAGTCTCAAAGCTGAGCTGCTGGAGCAATGTCAACCAGTATTTTCTCATACTCTCTCAGAGCATCAGTCCTTCAGCTGAGCTGCCAGAAAAGGACAAATATGGTTCCTTTATGATTGGGTCTGGGACTTAAACTGGCCAGAGAACTGGCAAGGGATCTCTGGCAAGGCTGTCCCTGAGCCGGTGATGGCAATGACTGGTTACCTGACACCTCAGCTTCCTAGTCTACAAAACTGGAGGACGTTGGTCCCTATTTATTCCAGGGGTTCTTGTGAGGATTAAGGGAGATCATAGAGGCAGAGAGCTGAGCGGGTGCATGCCTCCTGGTGAGTGGAGACAAAATGGCTGCAAATTCTGCTTCTGCTTTTACAGTCTAATTAGTGCTGCACGAAAGGTCTCATAGTTGTGTCTATTTCAGTGTGCATTGCATGTCAAAGTTCATGGGAACCATAAACTTGGATTCTGGTGCAAGAGTGGAGAGGTGTAATTTTAAAGCAACTGCCATGCCATGAAGCACTGGACTTCAGCAGCCAGTATTTGTAGACTGGGTGCTTTCATGTGCATTTTTATTTGATCTTCACAATAGTCTCATGAAGGAGGTATTGGCTGAACTCAGAAGTATGGGTTAGTCTAGGTCATGCAATGATCATCTCAAAACCAAACCTTCTGTATATAAATTGCTTGTTTTCTTCCTCTAGCACAGTGTTTCTCTATACTAATAGCCACTGTACTTTCACCCCCAAATTAAAAATGAGCACTAATATTATCTGTTGTAGCTTCTTTTCTGTGTTAGTCTAAATGAAGGATTAATGGTATATATTTTCTGAAGCGCCCTCCACCCCTTCTCTCTCAGGACACAGACATGTATTATCTAGGAAATGACACTCCTGCAATGGCCAGGACATCAAACCTTAATGAAGAGCTTGGGCAGGTGAGAGCCTCTTTGGGAACTTGGGTAGTGGTGACTCCAGCATCAGGGGAGACCAGTGCTAGAACCACAAGAGATTTCAGAAAAATAGTTGTCTATGAACGTGGTTTTGATGTCTGAAGAGCTATATATACAGCATTTGAAAGTATTGTGAAATAGAAATGTTAGTTGGCTTTGACCTGCTTTTTGAGGCATCAATATATTTTATTATCTAGAAGGAGCCTGCAAAAAAATAATACAAAAAATATACTGCAACATTACTCTGGACATTAAAATTGTTTATCAGGAATAAATGATAGCGAAAACGGTGGTTCAGATATGCAGGTATTGGGTAATCTTACAAAACATGGGGCAGCTAATTTGAAGGACATAAATCTATTAAATTTCTCACACTTCTTATATTTTGTTTCTGGAGCATTCCAGGGAACGAGTTTCTTTTCTGCCATTACCCTTGAAACTCCTATTGCCTTTAATGAGTTGTGTTTTGCATTGTATCTTCATCTTATGTTGAAATTACTGTAAGGAATACCCTCTTTTGAATGCATTGCAATTAAAGATTATAATTTCATCTTATACATCTTATTTAAACCTTCCAACAGCCCTAGGGGGTGGGTGCTATATATGTCAGACTAAATTTGCCTCCTCTTTGAACCCTTTTACAGTTTTTCAGGTAAAGTTATTTGATCTTTCTTCTATGCCCCCATAACAGTCTCTCCAATTATGAACACAGTAAAGTGAGAGACATGTTAGAGATGTGGTGTCTGTTTCCATCTTGAGCCTTTTGAGCCCATTCGAGGGTGTGGATGTGTCTGGGATGAGGTCTTTGGTTGCCTTGGTCAGTCTAGCATAGTGCTCAATATCCCATTGTTCTCAGGACCCATTAACTGGATCCTAGTAATTGAAGGATTAAAAGTGCTCAAGTTGTATCCAGGATAATAATGCATCCTAATTGGGAATATAGGAAAAGTTTGCTTGCTCAAAAAGTTTTGAGTTGGAACTTAAGGATAATAGGAGAATGAGAGCAAACCTGGATAATTCCTTATTAGAAATTTTTCATTTTTTAACATTTTCATATAATCTTTTAATTTTTTTTAAAAAGGGGCAGAAGGAAACACTTCATTGGAAGGCTGATTCTACTGAATTTTTTTATACCCCTAGACTTACTGCATAAAAAACTTATATAAAAACTTATTTATAGTTGGAGCATGAATTACCCATACCTTACTAATATTTTTGTTTCTATGTAATATTTGACTTCTTTAGGAACATTAATAATTTTCCTTTACTTGACAGCCCTTTGATTGCTTTAAAAATAATTCATAGTGTATTTGCCTATATTGTATCATTAAGAAAAAGTACAGAATAAATAATTCACAGTATTAATCCCTCTTCCATAAAACAATAAAGCATGGCTTCCCCTTGTGATTCTTGGAGTACATCCAGCATCCAGCAGCAATCATGGCCTGAGAAACTGGAATTTTTACTGGAGACAATTCTGCTAGTTACTCTCCCTTCAACCAATCCATGACATAATTTTCCAGGATGTTACACGTAAAATGATGTTCCGTATCTTCTGGCCAAGTTCTTTGTTTCATAGATGTGGAAATTGGGGCTAAGAAGGATGAGGTGACTTTTCTAGAGTCCACATGACTAGTTAGTATCCAGAGCCTGAACTGGGCTACTGTCCTCTTGTGATCTTGAACTCTTTTCCTTCTTCCCCATCACGTGATCCACCAGAGGGAACATAATTCACACAGCACCTATGCATTTTGAGTTCATCTCTTTTGCATCCAGTTAATTATGTCAAAATGGTTGGCTTGTTAACCTCTAGAAATTTTATCTTTTCACCTTTGTATATTGAAAGCTTCGTGTATTAAGTCTGTAAAATTTTGTATCTCAGAAAGTTATATATAATCTATAGCAGTCCTATGCTGCCTTCATGTAATCTTAATTGTTACTGTAATGGAGGAAGATTTGTTTGTTCTGTGTTGTTTCAGTATATGCCTTCCTAATTCAACTAGGAGTGGAGTGATTAAAAAATATTTGAGGGTTGCCAAAGTTTGAGCTTGTGGGAATAGGTTGGAGAGTGATCTGTGTCTTTAAGATGCCTTATGGTAGAACTTAGTGCTTAGGCTTATAGGTCGACATGGCTCCAGGCTGTTACTGAAGCCTCCTTTGCACATTTCCACACAATTCGATTCTAGGCTTGGTTAGTGGAAAAGGTTTTTAAGTGGTCTAAGTGTGAAAATATATTAATTTTATAATAATATATAATTGTATATAATTATAAAATGTATTTTACTGTAAGGATATTTACCATTTAAAATTAATAGAGATTTTTGACTTTCTCTGCTTGACTTATTTCACTTAGCATAATCTCCAGTCACAAACTGAGGGTTCTAGAGGGGAGGGGGTGGGGGGATGGGTTAGTCCGGTGATGGGTATTAAAGAGGGCACGTACTGCATGGAGCACTGGGTGTTATATGAAAACAATGAATTGTGGATCACTACATCAAAAACTAATGATGTATTGTATGGTGACTAACATAATAAAATAAAATAAAATAAAATAAAATAAAATTAATAGAGATTTTGAAAAATATAGAAGGGGAGGCATGATCTATTGGTCTCTGCATCTTAGCTACAATGTTGATGTATGTTTCTTCTATTCTTTGATTTAGGTGAAATACCTATTTTCTGATAAAACTGGAACTCTTACATGCAATATCATGAACTTCAAGAAGTGTAGCATTGCTGGAGTAACCTATGGGTAAATATGTTCATCACTTACTAAAAATTTGATTTGTATTCTTCCAACAAATAAGTTTATTTTTAGCTGCTTAGCCAAATGCCTTCTTGATATTTTCAAAGGATATTTATAAGGGATTTAGATACGTAATTACTACTGAATGTATTTAATATTTAATGAGTCCCAACTTTGAACAGTTAACCAGTTTATTCTGCAAATATTTACCTAGTGAGAAATCCCTGGATTTAATGCTATAAGTTTAATTTTAAAACTTTAATTCTATAAATTTAAATTCTATAAGTTTATATTTATAATCTAATAATTATAAATGTCTTACTCATATTTTGATCTGAATGCCTGTCTTTTTTATTGGTGTTTAATTGATATGTAACATTATTAGTTTCAGATGTACAACATAATGATTCAGTGTTGGTATATACTGCAAAATGTTCACCACAATAAATCTAGTAAAATTTATTTTTTCTTGTGATGCAGCATTTAAGGTCTATTCTTTTAACAACTTTCAAATATGCAATATAGTATTTATTATTAACTACAGTCTTAATGTTGTATGTTAAATTCCCGTGACTTATTTATTTTATAAAGGGAAGTTTGTACCTTTTGCCCCTTTCACCCATTTTGACCACTCCCTATCTCCTGCCTCTGGCAACCACTAACCTGTGCTCTGTATCTATGACCTACTGCTGCCTTTTTTTTTTTTTTGAGTGCACGTATAAGTAAAATTATGTGGTTTTGTCTTTCTCTGTCTGACTTATTTCACTTAGCAATTATAATAGCATCAAGGTCCATCCATGTTGTCCCAAATGGCAAGATTTCCTTTTTATGGCTGAATCATATTCCATTGTGTATATGTGCCATATTTTCTTTATCCATTCATCCATTGATAGACTGAGGTTGTTTCTATAGCTTGACTATTGTAAATAATGCTGCAGTGAACATGGGGTGCATATACCCTTTTGAGTTAATATTTTCATTTTTTTGGATAAATATCCCAAATTGGAATTGCTGGGTCATATGGTAGTTCTATTTTTAATTTTTTGAGGAATCTCCATATGGTTTTTCATAGCAGCTGTACCAATTTACATTCCCACCAATAGCACACAAGAGTTCCACATCTTTGGCAGCACTTGTTATTTCTTCTAACCATTTTAACAGGTAGGAGGTAATCTTTCATTATAGTTTTGATTTTCATTTCCCTGATGATTAGTGATGTTGAACAAATCTACATGTATCTGTTGGCCATCTGTATATCTTCTTTGGAAAAATGTTTACTCAGATCTGCCCATTTTTAATCAGATTGTTTTTTTTTTTTGTTTTTTTGTTTTTGCTATTGAGTAGTATGGGGAGATATATATATCTATATATATATATCTATATGATATTAACCCCTTCCCAGGTATAGGATTTACAAGTATTTTCTCCCATAGGTAGGTTGCCTTTTCCTTTTGTTGATGATTTCTTTTGCTGTGCAGAAGCTTTTTAGTTTGATGTAGTCCCACACTTGTTTATTTTTGCTTTTGCTGCCTTGCTTTTGGTGTCAGAGCAAAAAAATCATTACCAAGACCAGTTTAAAGGAGCTTACTACCTACATTTCCTTCTAGGATTCTTATAGTTTCGGGTCTAACATGAAAGTGTTTAGTCCATCTTGAGTTAATTTTTGTATATGGTATAAGATAGTGGTCGAGTTTGATTATTTTGCATGTAGCTGGCCAGTTTTCTCATTTATTGAAGAGATTGTTTCTTCCCCATTAAATATTCTTGGCACTTTTGTCAGAAATTAACTGACCCTAAGTGTGTGGACTTAATTTTGGGCTCTGTTTTCTGTTCCATTGATCTATAGGAGTCTGTTTTTATGCCAATACTGTACCATTTTGATTAGTATAGCTTTGTAATATAGTCTGAAATCAGACTGTGTGATGCCCCTAGCTTTGTTTTTGTTTCTCAAGATTCCTTTGGCAATTTGGGTCTTTGTAGTTCCATATAAATTAGAATTGTTTGTTCTATTTCTGTGAAAAATGCTGTTGGAATTTTGGTAGGGATTGGATTGACTCTGTAGATTGCTTTGGGTGGTATGGACATTTTAACAATATAAATTCTTCTAGTCTACAAGCATGAGTATCTTTCCATTTATTTTTTATTTTTTTTAATTATGTTATGTTAATCACCATACATTACATCATTAGTTTTTGATGTAGTGTTCCATGATTCATTGTTTGCATATAACACC